CCAGTGCCCGACCCCCACCTGGTCACTGAGTGCCACAGCCAGGAACTCCTGGGACACCTCCAGGGATGGGCACTCCAACCTTCCTGGCCAGTTCCAAGGCCTGAGCTCCCCTTCCATGCTGAAATTTCCGAATTCCTGCTGGTTCCACCCTGAGCCTGCCCTGGCCCGGCCTGAGGACATTCCCTCTGCTCCTGTCCTGTTCCCTGGTGGCAGATCCCAGTCCCAACCCAACTGTCCCCTCCCTCCAGGGACTTGTGCAGAGCCACAAGGTCCCCCCTGAACCTCCTCCACCTCCAGACCCCTCAGGTTTCCTCCTAAAACCCCAGGAAGAAAATACTGTAGAAATAATTTTTTTTTCATTGATGGGATTGTTGCTTTTTACAGGAAATTTCTGATTCCCAAACTAGTTCATCCCTCTTTTTTGAGGATTGCAGACATTCCCCCACGCTGAAAATTGGATTAATAGATTTCCTTTCCGTTTTCAAACACTCTTCTATTGTTGTCACTAAAATTAAGAGGCTCAGGGGCTCTAAAAAGAGCTCCCTGCTTTTTCTGGGGAAAACCCCTGCCCTGGGAATTCAGAAATGGATCTGTCATGTGAGATTTCCCTTGCCTTTCCTCCCTGCCATGCTGGAATTCATCCTGCTGCATTCCAATCTCCTCGTCTTCCTCTCCAAAGTAATCCAGGCTCAAGTGTGTCATGCAATTAAAGTAATTAAAAAATGAAAAAAAATATAACATGAACAAACCCCAGGATGCTGGGTATGCTCAAGATAAAAAAATAATTAATGGATAAATGCGATGAGCACGTTAAAGACTAGGAAAAGACACTCCAGGTTGCTGTGAATGTGCTCCTCAAGCTTTCCTGGATTTCTTCCCTCAGTGTCTCCGTGTCTGGAGCTGCCCAATCCCACATCTGTATCCAGCAGAAGGAGGAAAAAGAAAAGCCCAGGAATTTTCACCGTATGTTTGTTTTATCTGGGCTCAGAGAGGCACCGTAACTCATCCTGGGCTCCAACAGGAGCGTGGATCCCTTCCACTGGAATTCCCTGGAGCTGGGTCACTCTGCAGGAGGTGGAGCTGGGGGTGGCACCATCCTGGCTGTCCCTGTCCCCGCAGTGTCCCTGCAGCATCCCAGGGCTCAGCACCACGGGCAGCTCCATAAATCCCATCAATCCCACAAATCCCATCAATCCCAGGAACCCCTCTGCGAGGAGCGCCGATCGATGTGCCACGGTTAATGAGGGCCAGCTGGAATTAGGATCGATTTCCTGTCTCCTCCTCTTCCCGATGAAGCAAACTTGGCTGTGCCCCTTCCCGAGCTGCCCTGTAGCCCAGCTTTTAGAGGCCCTTCCCAGCGATGTTCCATTCGGGATCGTCAAAACCATCACAACCGATTCTGCCTGGTGCTTTTGTGTTCTCCGTTCAGTCTTCACCCCGGGCTTAATGGAAAACGATGTCAAACACCAGGAGTGATTTGTGGGAGTCAGGCAGCTTCTGGCACACTGAGCTACGGATAAAGTCAACTGCAAATTGTTTTCACATTCTAAATTACTGTACCCAGCTCTGGAGGAGGCCGGAAAAACTGCCGGAGGGAAAATGTGGGAGAAGGAAAGATTGTGTGGCTGTCTCTGAACTGAGCTGTGCCTCAGAAGAATTCCATTTTTTAAGCCAAACCTCTGTGCTGGATGCCAGGGATGGATTTTTCCTGGGAATTACCATGGATGTGGGGATTCCCAGCTCCACATCTGCCACACTAAACTGCTGGAACAGGAACTGGTGCAGGCTGGCAATCTCTTCATTAAGAGCCTGAATAGGTTTTGATTGCAGAACAGAGATTCCCAGGAGCATCTCTGGAATTAAAGATACCCAAGAAGTGAAAGAAAACTTCCCTCTTTTACTCTGTGTATCATTTTTGTAGCTCTGATATTTCCTGTTGAACTTGTGCTGGATTACCAATAAAATATTGGTTTCTTTGTCATTGTTATTGTTACCATTGTCATTTCTAAGTTTAAAATCTCACAGGTGTCACTTGAGGGATTGTTTTGATTTGGGGTTGACTCAAAACTTGCTTTGTCTTGAGGCTGAGAGGAAATCTCCAAGGGCTTCCCAGAAAAATAATGATTTTTTTTTCCTCTTTCTCCTTGCAGGAAGAACTCAGGAGGCTCCAGCACACCCTGGAACAGGTCAATGATGGCAAAGACTCGCTCCAAAGGTAAATGTGCCTTTTCCAAAATATCTCAGCCATGAGAAAGTGAAATGGATTTTCCAAGGTGTGAAACCTTTGCTGAGGGATCCTCTTTGTCACAGACAATATCCCAAATTTTGCCTTTCTCCCATTAAGAATCTCTCTTTCTAGTTACAAGAGGGCAATGGCTGGCAATGATATCACTGAGTGCCCAGTTAAGTCTCCAAATAACTCCACAGGTTGGGGTCTGATCTCCCAAATTTCCGTGCCAAGAGCTGCCATTCAATCCATGCTGCTGCTCCCACCCAGGGCAGTGTTCCCAGACACTGGATTTGGATATTCCAACATTTTCAAATTGCTTCCTTCGAGCCATCCGTTCCCAGCAGCAACTCCTCTGCCATCATTTCTTACAAAGAATTTATTCCTCACCCCCACGTGGCTTCTGCTGCTGTAACTCATTTGCTGCCAGCATTCCCATTGTTCCTTCCCATTTCCCTCTCCAGCCTTTCCAGCGTGGCCGTGGGGGTGGAAGTTAATTTAGCAGGAATATCTGTTAGATCTACCAGGGTTTGGGTTTTTTTATTATTATTTACAGCAGCTCTTTTTGCTGGCTGTGCCTGTCCCTGGAGCTGTGGCAGCTGGGAGATTTAAAACAGGGATTCAGGCAGGCTCCCACTGGAAAACTGGGTCCAAATTCCCATTTTTTATTGGGAGTGGACACAGAGGTCCAGATAACTTCCTCCAAAGACAGCAACACCTTCTGATCAGCAGCTCTAGTTTGTTCTTGTCCAGATTAGGGAATTCATTCACAGGGTTGCAGGAATGTCAGGCTGGAACACGTTAACCTCATTTCCTTTTCTTTCTGTAGCCATCAGCTCGCCATGGATGAAGAAAATAATATCCAGGAATATCCTATCAACCTCCAGCCCTTGGAATCCAAAGTGAAAATGTGAGTAAGGAAAAGTGTTGGGCCTGCCTTGGGATGCAGCTGGGGTGTCCAATTCCCGAGCTGCAGGATCCACACTGGATCCATCCTGGATTTCTGTGTAACTGGATAAAAGAGCTTCCAATTAACAAATTATTGAATTCTCTATGTTTAAGAATGTGGAGCTGGGAAAATTGGGGTTGTTCAGCCTGGAAAAAAGAGAAGGATCCAAGGTGAACAAATTGTGGCCTTCCAGTGCCTGAAGGGGCTCCAGGAGAGCTGGGGGAGGGATTTGGGACAAGGGGTGGAGGGACAGGACACAGGGAATGGCTCCCAGTGCCACAGGGCAGGGCTGGGTGGGAGATTGGGAATTGGGAATTCCTGGCTGGGATGAGACACAGGGAATGGCTCCCAGTGCCACAGGGCAGGGATGGGTGGGAGATTGGGAATTGGGAATTCCTGGCTGGGATGGAATTCCCAGAGCAGCTGTAGGGGGCAGGGATGAGTGGGAGATTGGGAATTGGGAATTCCTGGCTGGGACAGGACCCAGGGAATGGCTCCCAGTGCCAGGGGGCAGGGATGGGTGGGAGATTTGGAACTGGGAATTCCTGGCTGGGATGCAATTCCAGAGCAGCTGTGGCTGCCCCTGGATCCCTGGCAGTGCCCAAGGCCGGGTTGGCCATTGGGGTTGGAGCCCCTGGGACAGTGGAGGTGTCCCTGCCGTGGCAGGGTGGGATGGGGTGGGATTTCCATTCCCTTCCCACTGAACCATCCCGGGCTGAATCACAGAATCACACGGATTCCCTTTACACCGAGTTCCAGCTCTTAAACATCAGTGTTGCGCTCATTTTGTCATTTCCTCTGTGTCACTAAAGAACATTTGGGAATCTGCTGGATTTTTCCGCGTGTGCAGAGAAGCCAGAGGAGGGAAGAGCAGCACGGAGCCTTTTCTGTGCCGATTTTCCCATCCGGCATCATTTCCCCAGGGATTCCCTGGAAGGAGCGGCCCTGGAAGTGCGGAATTGCCGCTCTGGGGGTGCAGCAGAGCCCTGGGCTCGGGAGAGGAGGGAATTCCTGGGGGAGCGGGCTCAGCCGAGGCACACGCTGCACCTAGCGCCCCGTGGGGAGGGAGGGATGCACGCCCGGGCTCCGGGAATGAGCTCTGAACTTCCAAACCAGGGAATCATGGAATGGTCCGGGTTGGAAATTACCTTTAAGGACCTTTGAGTCCAGCCCTGATTGGCTGGCTTCAATTAGGACAGGGTGTCAGGCTGTTTGGGGTGTTTTTAGGGATGGGGAATCTCCCCCCACCACCCTCATAGGAAAAAAAAAAATCTTTCCTCATGTCCGAAATCAATCCTCTCTTTGAATTATAGAATAATTTTAAATTTTGTTATACATGACATGAAACGGAGTTTCCCCTGATGTCAGTCTTGATTTTGAATAATTAAACTTCCCCACATATTTATTAGACTCCAGGATTCCTTTTGGAGCCTCTCCCAGCATGGATCTTCCAGGCCTGGTGCAGGAATTGCCTCCATCTAGAAAACACTGCCTCACTTACAGCCCATTCAAATATTAATGCATATTAAAATATTAAAAGGACATGAAGTTTCAAATTAAAATCCAGTGTCTTCTAAGCTTTTAGTCATGCAGATAAAAGCCAGATAAAAGAATCCATTTTCAGGGAGCTTTCCAGGAGAGTAATTATGACTTAAGCTCAGTCTATTCTCCAGCTTTAAAACAAATAGATATAGATAGATATAGATAGATATAGATAGAGATAGAGATAGAGATAGAGATATAGATATAGATATAGATATAGATATAGATATAGATATAGATATAGATATAGATATAGATATAGATATAGATATAGATATAGATATAGATANAGATATAGATATAGATATAGATATAGATATAGATATAGATATAGATATAGATATAGATATAGATATAGATATAGATATAGATATAGATATAGATACAGATACAGATATAGATAGATATAGATAGATATAGATAGATATAGATATAAAAATATGTAAATATTGCTCATCCCAGTGAATAAACCCTCAATTGCTTAAAAATTCTACAAGGAGATAATCCTGCAGAGAAGTTGTGGATGCTGGAATCGTTCCAGGCCAGGTTGGATGGGGTTTGGAGCAACGTGGGATAGTGGAAATTGTCCCTGCCCATGACAGAGGATGGAATGCGATGACATTTTCCACCCTAAGCCATTCTGGGATTCCATAATTCCATTATACTGCTCTGGCTCTCAAATTCCAGTCATATCTGAATTCTAATCTGAAATGTGGTATAAAAATAAGGTGCAGAAGGTTGTTAATTCCTTTAAGTGGCCAAATGGATATTTTTATTTTGATTGTGGAATGTAGGAGAAATTCTGAGTTCCGAAAATACTTCCATGGGTTTGGGGATTGGGTTGGACTCTGAGTAACGCGGTAAAAGTTTGGAACCAGATCATCTTTAAGGTCCTTTCCAACCTAAACCACTCCTAAACCACCCAAACCACATTAAGGAGAATTCCCTGATTCTCCTTAATAAATATCTGAAATTATCCCAGCGGTGCCTTACACAAAGCCTGCAGAGGTAGTTCCACGAGATCCTTATCCAGACAGGAAAACAAGCACAGGAACCCCCCAGGCCCAACGGTTCGAGCCGGGGATCTGGACTGAAATCCTTTGTTCCCTCAGCATCCAGCGAGCACGGCCTGAGCACCTGCAGCACCAGGACCTGTCCCCATCCCCGGAGCTGCGGGACAAGGAGAGCCTGTCCTCAATGTCCTCAATGTCCTCAATGTCCTCAATGTCCCCAAGGTCCCCAACGTCGCCGGCCTCGGGCAAGACGAGCAGGTCTGTCAGCATGAGCACCTTCTCCGACAGCAGCATCCCCGTGAGTCCGGCTGCAATTCCTCCTTCTCCTTCGTGCCTTCCTTTCCGGGCTTGGGGAGAAGTGAAAGCTCAGTTGTGGGTTCACGGGGTTGGCAACGGGTTAAAAAGGGAATTTTTGCTGTCCCAAATGACCTCCAGGCAGAGATTGCTCTCGT